AGGGGAAAAAGACATTGAGTGGCTCATGGCTTTATGTTCCAGTGTTTGGTATTTATTTTTCGTTTGTTTTGAGACAGACTCTCATTATGTCGCCCTCGGTAGAGTGCTGTGGCATCACAGTTCACAGCAACCTCAAACTCTTGGGCTTAAGCAATTCTCTTGCCTCAGCCTCCCGAGTAGCTGGGACTATAGGCGCCTGCCACAACACCCTGCTATTTTTTGGTTGTAGTTGGCCTGGGCTGGATTCAAGCCTGCCAGCTCAGGTGTACGTGGCTGGCACCCTAGCCGCTGAGCTACAGGCACTGAGCCATGTTCCAGTGGTTTTAAAGAAACATAGAGTACTTACTTAAAAAGATTGCATTCCTGGCTCAGTGGCTCACCTCTGTAATCTCAGCATTCTGGAAGGTGGAGGCAGGTAGATTGCCTGAACTCAGGAGTTCCAGAGCAGCCTGAGCAAGAGTGAGACCCACTCTACCAAAAATAGAAAAACTAGCCAGGAGTGGTAGTGGGCACCTGTAGTTCCACCTATTGGGAAGGGTGAGGCAAAGGGATCACTTGAGCCCAAGAATCTGAGGTTATTGTGAGCTCTGACACCACAGCACTCTACCCAGAGTGACAGAATGAGACTCTCTCAAAACCAAACCAAACCAAAAAAGATTGCATTCCCATCAAACTACCAATTTATCTACTAAGCTTGGCCTAACCAAATAATGGCAAGGTGAAGGCTTTGATGAGTATAAGGATGCTCATCACTGTATTGTTTACAATGATAAAAAGTTGGGGAAAGCCTTGTACAACTGTGGAGGTGTGGCTAAATAATGATTGACACGTATGATGGAAATAGTAGGTGCTCATTAAAATGCATTCATGGGCCTACATATTTTAGCCTTGAAAGAGTACTCAGACGTATATTTCATGAAAAACCACGTTCTCAAATTGGCATTTTTTCATTTTGACAGATTTATATATATGCATATATGTATAAACAAAAATATATTGGTTATCTCTGAGCAGTGGACCTACTCCAAAAAGGTGGTTTTTCTCCCTTTTTGCTTAGTTTTCCCCTAAATTTTCTGCATAAATATAAGTGACTTGGAAATTAAAAATGAAATGTAGGCCAGGAGCCATGGCTCAAGCCTATAACCCCAGCACTCTCAGAGGCCAAGGTAGGTGGATTGCATGAGCTCATGGGTTTGATACCAGCCTGAGGAAGAGTGAGACCCCATCTTTAAAAATAGCTGGGCATTGTGGCAGACACCTGTAGTCTCAGCTACTCAAGAGGTTGAGGCAGGAGGATCATTTGAACCCAAGAGTTTGAACTTGCTGTGAACTATAATGCCATGGCACTCCACTGAGGGCAACAGAGTGAGACTCTGCCTCAAAAAAAAAAGTAATGTAAATACAGATAAATAACATCTAGCCTATTTAGCCAGGGGCCTGTAGTCCCAGCCTACTCAGGAGGCTGAGGCAAGAGGATCACCTAAGCCCAGGAGTTGGAGGTTGCTGTGAGCCGTGACACCATGGGACTCTACTGAGGGTGATAAAGTGAGACTCTGTCTCTAAAAAAAGATCTAGACTCTATTCTGTAGACAAGAGTTAGGCAGATGTGCATGACATAAAGGGAAAAAGCACATTCAATTCCAGGGACCAATATCTCTGGGGGAGAAGTTGGTGCCCATTCCTCTTCATAGGAAATGAGAACTCCCCAAATGTGGAAGGAAATTCAATCCACTGACTCTAATCAGCTTAGTGTTCATTCTGTACACTGCACTCAAGGCTGAGCCTGCTGGATGTAGGGATAATGAAATTAGAAACACAAGATTGATTTCAGGATGGCAGGATCTTCAGGGCTGTCAGCGTTGGGTGGAGATCAACGGCTCCATCCCAGGCCTCTGTGCCAGCTCCAGCCTCCTCAGCACCGGGGTGTCTGTCCATCTTTCCTGAGGAAAGAGGGCTAGCAGAGCTGTCTTCCTGGTGGCTCCTTGCTTGTTAGTCTCTGTTTGGGGAGTTCTTACTTATGCCAATTTAAATTTTCTGCCACCATAATTATAAATATAATAATAATTTTATGGTTCTCCTCGGATTACAGAGCACTTGAAAGATATGAAAAAATATGTACTTGGAAAAAATATGAATCGGAAGGAAGAAAAATATCACCAACAAAACCACACCCTAGAAATAGAACCCACTTGTGCTCATGTACTTTTTTCTCTGCACTTCAGTTCAGATATAGGAATAATTGGCATCACCTGTCCCCTCTCTTTGGAGTCCTCATCTCTTCCTTTACTCTCAAGAAGGAAGTTTCTTTTTTTCTTCTTTATTTAAAGGAGGCCTCAAAAACTTGGGAAAAGACGTTCCTCTCCAAAAGGCAAAAGGTTTATATAATCTGAAGAGAAACTAGAATATTTAAGAATGATGCTTCTGGCTTGGCACCTGTGGCTCAATCGGCTAAGGCGCCAGCCACATGCACCTAAGGTGGCGGGTTCGAATCCCCAGCCCGGACCCGCCAAACAACAATGATGGCTGCAACCAAAAAATAGCCGGGCGTTGTGGCGGGCGCCTGTGGTCCCAGCTACTTGGGAGGCGGAGGCAGGAGACTCACTTGAGCCCAGGAGTTGGAGGTTGCTGTGAGCATGATGCCATGGCACTCTACCCAGGGGGACAGCTTGAGGCTCCATCTCAAAAAAAAAAAAAAAAAAAAAAGAATGATGCTTCTTAGAAGTTTGTAGAGAAAGGCCTTCCAGCCTCATCTATTGGGCCCAGTTCCCTGCTCCCCCAGCAGGACTGTAGCCACCGACAGACCACTGACCGCTGCCCAGCAGAGATGCAGGAGCCTGCCACCCACAGTGTGATCTGTCCTGATGACCCGCCAGGAAAAAAAGTTTCTCATCTGTGGAACATAAATTCACAGGGTGGGGGAGAGCCCTTGGAGAGGAAAGACAGAAAGTTGGAATTGAAACTCTGAAAACTCCTGTAATTATGGTTTTTGTTGATTAACATAATCAAGTCAGCACTTGGCACAAAGGGGACAGCAACAACACTGGCCCCAGCAGGCCCTGTTTCCATCCACCCAGACTGGCTCTACCCACTTCCCAGTATGTTCCTCACTGTAAGCTCCCGCCAGACGATAGTGATTTGGGTTTTTTTGTTTGAGAGAGAGTGTCTCACTTTGTTGCCCCCTTGGCCCCCGCCCGCCGGGTATAGTGCTGTGGTGTCATACCTCACAGCAACCTAAAACTCTTGAACTCTTAGATTCAAGTGATTCTCGTACCTCAGCCTCCCAAGTAGCTGGGACTACAGGCGCTGGCCACAACGCCCGGCTGTTTTTTAGAGATGGGGTCTCACTCTTGCTCAGGCTGGTGGTCTCCAACTCCTAAGCTCCAGCAATCCACCTGCCTCAGCGTCCCAGAGTGCTAGGATTACAGGCGTGAGCCACCGCACCCAGCCTACGATCTTGATTTTGTTTGGCTTTGTTGCTGGTGAGTCACATACCCAAAGCTACAGGGCTCTAGCTGGTTTCCCCCTCACAAGCTTGCCCTGTTGCTGAGTCTCTGACTTGGGAGCAGGGGAGTTTCCACCTTCTATACTGATGCTTGGATGTTTATGTGGCTCGCTCAGCTGTGAGACCCCAGAAAGTCTTAAGGTCTGTCCCCACGTAGTCAGCTTCAGCTGTCTGGGTGCTGCCAGTTCATGCACCCTGATGCAGGCCTCCAGACAGGTCCCCAAGCCCAGTCTACAGACAGTCATTCCCTTGTCCCACTAAGCTGGCCCAAGGCCAGGCCCCCCTTTCCTCAGCTTCCCACAATTCTCCCAAGGCATGTTGGATAAAACCACTATTCCAGCCCAGCGGTCTGCGTCATCTCTGGTTTATCATCATTATCCCCAGAACCTTCACTTTCCAACTGTCCTCGTGCGTGACTATTCCGTGGAAACCCAGGAGCTTTTTCACAAGTTAATGCTTCAACCAAAACCTAATGGTGGATTCCTATTTCACTCACATTTAAACCAAATCCTCATACCGGCCATCCTCTCCAACTCCAGTGGCTATTTGCCCAATGCATCAGGCATGCTCCACTGTAGGTCCTTCTGCATGTCTGTGCGCTCCACCTGGAATGTTCTGACCTCAGGTATCCATTTGGCTACATCTGTAACGCCTTCAAGTCTTTGTTCACACCTCTGCATCTTGACGGGGCCCACCTTCTCCTCATGTTGAACACTGCGGTCTCATTCCCACTACCACTCTTCAAGTCCTCATCCTGCCCCACTCTCTGCTTTCAGTAACTCTTACCACTTGACATAATGAACTCATTTATTGTGTCTGTGCATTATGGTCTGTCTCCCCAGCCCCAAACAGGATGCGGGCCTCCCCGAGGGCAGGGTCTTCTGTATCCTCCATTCACTGAGGTATCTAGAGTGCCTAGCACGGTGCCTCACGTAACGGAGGTGTACAATAGTTACTGAATGAAAGGTTAGTGAGTAAAAGGTGTTTGGAACCTAATCTGTTGATAGGAGGAAATTCCTAATGGGCAAGTGTGCTTTTACTGGGGGCCAGAGGCAGATGGATCAAGGCTGCCACAGCCTTACTCCCCATTTGTTTGGGAATCTCCAGCTCATTCTCTCTGCCCGGTCTGGAAAGGAGGGGAAGTATGCTGGCCATGTACCCAGTTTATCAACCTGTGATATGAAGCCTTCTTGGAGGCCCTGGAGACATCTAGAATAAACAGGCAGACCTGCCTTAGCCCCCATCTCGCACCAATGAGGTTGGATCTCAGAGAACTTCCCCGACAGTAACAGGGAGCAAGGTGCCAGTCCCGGTGACTATGGGCCGGCAGAGCCATTCTCTCTGGAGATGCTTTTTACCTTGGGCTCAGTTGGCTGTGTCTTCTTCCCCTATCAAAATGGGATAAATGATACTGCCAAAAGTTCTTGAGGCAGCTGGGCTGTGGTGGAAAGAGTCTGTGTCCCCGCTGGGGGTGGGGGGGGAGAGCCCTGGGGGTATTGTGGGATGGCAGATGAGGAGGAAGACTCCGCTTTTGAGGAGGAAAATGAAGAAATTGGAGGAGGTGCAGAAGGTGGACAGGGTAAAAGAAAGAGACTTTTTTCTAAAGAATTGAGATGTATGATGTATGGTTTTGGACATGACCAGAATCCTTATACTGAGTCAATAGATATTCTTGAAGACCTTGTCATAGAATTCATTACTGAAATGACTCACAAGGCAATGTCAATTGGAAGACAAGGTCGAGTACAAGTTGAAGATATCGTCTTCTTGATTCGAAAGGACCCCAGGAAGTTTGCTAGGGTTAAAGACTTGCTTACTATGAATGAAGAATTGAAACGGGTTAGAAAAGCATTTGATGAAGCAAACTATGGATCTTGACATCTTTTGTAGTTTTTGAAACTCCACTATATTCTAGTGAAACCATATGTAATAATTGTTATATTTTCTGCAGTAAGGTCCTGATATCTACCCATGTAAATGAAAGATAGAGAAACAGAGTTTTTTGCTTTTATTTTCACGTCTTTGGTTTTATAGTGATATTGGATTAATTGCCTGCTTTTATATTTCCATACTTGAATTACTTATTGAGTTTTAATGACCACACATAAGTTAAAGTATCTTTTAAACCAGGCAGTTCTTTCTGACTATTAACAAAGGTTGAAATATTAATAGTTGTGTTAGATGTATTTGTGCCACTGTAAGCTATATTGTAGCTGTTTAATATGTGAAATCTAAACGGCATCTTTGACTTAGATAGGTGAAATGTGTTTATGTATTCTGAAGTTTTTATATAAAAGTAGTCTGAGAGATTATTGTAGTGAACATTTTTATATTTTATCTTAATTTTTATCTTTATGTTTATTTTTATTTTTTTGAGACAGAGTTTCACTTTGTCGCCCTGGCATTATATCTCACAGAACCTCAGACTCCAGGGCTCAAGTGATTCTCTTGCCTCAGCCTCCGGAGTAGCTGGGACTACAGGTGCCTGCCAGAAGGCCTGGCTATTTTTAGAGGCAGGGGTCTTGCTCTGGCTCAGGCTGGTCTAGAACCTGTGAGTTCAGTGGGATTACAGGCGTGAGCCACTGTACCTGGCCTATCTTTATTTTAAAGAGATGATACAGGAAAATACTGGGTTTTGGTTAAGGATGTTTATCTGTTTTAAAAGCTAATTTCTTTTAACATTCTTTTCTTCAGATAACACGAATGATTTTATTTATTTTTTTTTTGAAGAACAAAGTTTCATGTGAATGCTTCCATGTTGGGAAGGCTTTTTTGATTTAAAACCTTTTGGGGATTACAATATACCATTTGTTAAGTTTGGGAGAACTCATTTCCCCAGATCAGATTAAAGCTTCTAAAAATAAATGTAGCAAGAATGGCGTTGCTTAAAAATTGAATGGCATCGATGGCAAGATAAGCATGTAGGGTAGTTTTTTTATTCACATATTTGTAAGTACTTGTTCATTGTGGAAACATATACTTGATGAAAACCTTGTATGTCTATGGAAACCGCCTTTTTTTTTTTAGTTTTCTTACACAAAGTTTATTTTTACCTCTATATTTTTATATTGTATTCAAATCAAAATGAAACAAAATGTAGGTTTAATTGGCTCAGAAAAGGGCCATGTGAAAAAAACACACTGGGTAAAATTTTACCAATAGAGAATTACCATTTAGAGTGATGGATTTGAGTTATAGTACCATGGAAAGGGCTCTTGTAGTTCAGGACATATGGATTTTGTGTGTATGTACTTTATCAAATTATTACTGCATTTAGCTTAAAATAACAATTACAATTGCATTTAAATCACTGAATGTTACTCTCTGTGAAACTGAACTTTTTGTGTGCCACTTACAAATGTTACCTATAAATCAATATTTGGGAAAATTTTACTTTCTTAACCTATTAATGCAAGGAATAAAGTATGAAAAATTAAACAGGAACAAAAAAAAGAAAGAGTCTGTGTTCCATCACCAGAAGATACCCAGCTTTCACCGCTGCTACTTACTAACTCAGTGACAGGCTTTGTAACTGCTCTGTGGGAGGCAGAATAACGGTCCCCAGGGATGCCCGAGTGAGCCTTGCTCCCCAGACCCTGTGACTGTGTTACACTGCATGGCAGGCATGGCAGATGGGCTGTGCAGATGTGATTAAGGTTAGGTTGGGGATGATCCCAGAGGACTGAGTCTTATCACTCGAGCCCTGATCTGAAAGTGGAAAACTCCCTCTGGATAAAGGCAGAAAGGAGGTGAGACACAAAGGGAGTCAGAGAGAGCTGAAACATGAGCAGGACTCAGCCCCCACCGCTGGCTTTGAGATGGAGGGTGGGAGCTGCAAACCCAGGGGTGCTGGAAGCTGACAACGACCCCCCGCTGACAGCCAGCAGGGAAGCACGCACCTCCTCCCACACATGCGAATGAACTCGGCCAGCGGCCTGCATGGGACTGGACCAGACTCAGCCCCAGAACCTCCAGGCAGGAGCGCAGCCCAGCCTTGGGAAGCCTCTGAGCCTGGACTTCTGACTAGAGGGACTGGGATCTAATCCCCTTGTGTGCTTTTAAGATGCTAAATCTGTGTTAATTTGTTAGAACAACAACAGAAAATGAATATTCTCTTTGAGCCGTGGTTTCCTCAGCTATAAAATGGAGAGGCTGCTTATGGTTTCCGTCTTGCTGACTTGCTGCAGAACTAAATGCAATAGTAGGAGGCACCTTGGAAACTGTTCTCTATGACCCAAGGCGGCAAACTGCTCTGCAGCAGTCCCGGACTTGTCTCTCAGCAGCAGCTGTACACACCAGGATTCCAGATACTTTCAGGAAAGGAGGGAAGGGGCCTCAGCTCCGGGGGCTGCTCTCTCTTCGGTTAGGAGACCCCTGAGATCCCCCAGGCGCCTGAGAGTGGTCTCTGTTCTTGGCATCCCCCTTTGCACCCTTCTGCTGCCACCTGGCCTCTCTGTCCTGGGGAGGCTGGGTGGGGAAGGGGGCTGGCCACTGAACCCCACGTGGAGCATGCGGAAGAGGAGTGCCTTGAGCTGGAAGCACAGAGCCGGGGTGTCAGGGCCTCTCTGTTGCTGAGCCTCTGCCAAGGAGAGACAAGCCTCAAGAGTGGGAACCCATCCTTCTACGGCAGGCAAGGGGGCAGTGGACCCTCTTCCCAGCTCCTGTGAGGGGCTAAAGCCACAAGAGGGAAAGTGGCCAGGATGCCATCACCTGTTCCCCCAACCCTGAAGGACAGCTCCACCCCTTCCTGGGGAAGCTCCTCAGAGACCCTCTCCCCTAATACATACATAACAGCTGAATTCAAAGGGCCCTCTGAGCTCTCTAACCCAAACCCCTTGTCATATACTTGGGGAAACTGAGGCCCAGGCAGAGGGAACCTTCTGTTTTTTTGCAGTTTTTGGCCAGGGCTGGGTTTGAACCCGCCAACTCCAGCATATGGGGCCGGCGCCTTACTCCTTTGAGCCACCAGGCACCGCCCCTCTTTTTTGCTTGAGACAGTCTCATTATGTCGCCCTCCGTTGAGTGCAGTGGTATCACAGCTCACAGCAACCTCAAACCTCTTGAGCTTAAGCAATTCTCTTGCCTCAGGAGAGCGATTCTCCCAAGTAGCTAGGACTATAGGTGCCTGCCACATGCCCGGCAATTTTTTTGTGTTGTTGTTGTCGTTGTTTAGCAGACCCGGGCAGGGCTTGAACCCACCAGCCTTTGTGTATGTGGCTGGTGCCCTATTCAATGAGCTACAGGTGCTGAGCCCAGAGGGAGACTTCTAACCATAGACAGTTGCTCTTAGAGCAGTGATGACACCTCAAATCTTTTCTCTCTCCAAATTTCACAAACTGCACCCAGCAAGCTCCACCAAAGAAAGTTCTGCTCCCCAACCCCTTGCCCTCATTATATCCTCTATATTAGTCTACAGCCTTTGGATTCTAGACAGGGGCTGGGCTATCCTGTTTACTCTTAGCCAGAGGGGCTCATCACAGAGGTAGCCACATTCTTCCAAGATTAAATAAAAACAACCACACTTCCAGATATTCAGTCATTTATTTATTATTTATACCACACCTACTTCCAAAAAAAGTATTTGAGGTGGCTCACAATAAAAGTGACCGGTACAACAGAACTATTCATAAGTGAATAAATGTTCCGACAGTCAAAACCTTTCATGATTTCAGGCTACGGGAGGAATTTTGTTTTCAAGGACCAAAGAAGTCTTTGAACTCAGGTACTTGAGAGGGTCAGGTCTTGAGTGTGGATTTTTTAAGTGCCCAGTCAGGTCAAGTAACTAAAATTGGAACACCTGGCTCAGCACCCGTAGCTCAGTGGTTATGGTGTCAGCCATATACACTGGGGCTGGCAGGTTCGAACCTGGCCCTGGCTTACTAAACAACAATGACAACTACAACAAAACAAAAAATAGCTGGGCTTTGTGGCAGGTGCCTGTAGTCCCAGCTACTTGGGAGGCTGAGGCAAGAGAATCGCTTAAGCCCAAGAG